GGAAAGGCCCACAACAAAACAAAATGTTGTTTTCCCTGTTAGCTCAGTGATGCATTTCTCTACAGCAGCACTGTGTAAACACAAGCACTGAGCTGGTTCTGGAGCTGTGTCCAGGTCACTGTTTTGGACTCACATCCTTTATTTCTTGCTCCTGAGCTTTCTGTGCCTCTTGGGTTGTGAATTTTGGGTTCCACAGTCCCCTGGCAGGGAGCACAGCTGGGAGTAGTTTCAAAATCATTTCCCCAAGCTGCTTCAGCACCTTTCTTGGAATAATCCCTTTTCTGGGGGCTCTTCTGAAGCACAAAACACAAAGTTGGGCATTTGGGACCAGCAGTGACTGCAGCCTAGGACAAGTCCTTGGTGCTGCTTTTGGGCACAGCCATTCAGGGACTCAAACTGGGTTTCATGGAGAATAAAGCTTCAAAACTCTGTCTGCAGCACAAAAGTATTTTTTGTTATTTAGTGTGAGCCAAGCACAAAATACGAAACCCTCATAATGCGAAATTTAAGACACAGTGTTGGTAATTTTTGCTTCTGTCCTTAAATGGAGGGGGAGGGGGGGGCAGAAGGAAAAGCAAAGTAATAATAAATAACAGGACCCAGTAAAAAAAGGGAGGTTGTGTCACCTAGTACAGACATCTCACAGTAGAGATGGTGATCCTTATGCCCTTGCAGCTCAAACACTGATTTTTGATCTGTTTTTGATCTGTTTTTGATCTGTTTCAGGTGTTCTGGGACATGGGAACCCCCTGTGGGCACCATCTTTAGATGAGAGGAAAACTTTCTGGAGTGAGTCTAAAGGGAATTGGTTGAAGTCTCCTTTTCTACCTGGACCTTCAACTAAGATAAGAGGCCCAAAATCACATTTTTCAAAAGGGGTTATTCCTAGAGTTCTTGTCAATAGGAGACATCTAAAGTGCAGCATTCCCCTGGCACAGCAAGGGTTGATGCATTCTTAAAAGTGCTCTGCTGGTTTCATTGTCACCACAGAGGGGTCAGCTGTGTGCCCAGCTGCTGTCCTGTGTGGGAAATAACAGAAATAACAAATCAGAGCACTTATCAAGTATTTCACTTTTACTCTTTTTTTTTTTTTTTTTACTTTCTCTTTTACATATTTATCACAGAAATCTCTGAAAGTCCATGGTCTGCAAAACAAGAAATGGTTGCCAGCACCTTGGCATGTCCCCATGGGTTCCAAGGCTGCAGCAAGAGGGACATCAGGGTTTCTGGAGCACGGACAAGAGTGGATTCTGCTGCCCGGGGATCAAGGACAGGGCCAGGATGGGGATGACCAGCCCTGCAGTGAAATCTGGGCAGGCCCTGTTTGGAGTGGACATTCCTGTGGTTTTGGTGGTGTTGCCCAGCCCGGGAGCCCTGCGAGGCTCAGGGGGCCCTGCCCTTGCAGGGCACAGCTTTGTGCCAGGGGAACAAACCCCACTTTTCCTCTCTTTTTCTGCAGCAGCCCCGTTCTCTGAAGGCACAACCATGAGCCTGCAGGGTCAGAGCTGTCCTGAGGGCTGCCTGGGTACTCTGAAGGATGCAGCCATGGACACAGGTGTTTGCAGAGCAGCTCCTCATGGAGCCCCTTGATTCTGAAAAGCCTTTGTGTCAAGCAAAGCACAGCACGCTGAGCTTTGAGCTGCCAATTAAAAGGCAGAGGACTGTAAATCCTCTTTGCAAACACTTGGAGCCCTGCAGTGGGGGGCTCCCTGAGCTCCTGCAATCTGTTCTGTCCCGGGGAAGAAATGTGCAGTGGCTCCATGCCTGAGCTGGTGGTCACAGGGGACACAGGGGTCAGTGTTCAGAGGGACTGGTGGTCAGAAGGACTGGTGGTCACAGGGGTCAGTCAGAGGAGCTGGTGTTTGCAGGGGTCGGTGGTCACAGGGGTCAGGGGTCACAGGGGATTGATGATGGGGGGGGTTGGCGGTACCAGGGATTGGTGGTCACAGGGGTCAGGGGTCACAGGACCCTATTGTCACAAGAGTTGGTGGTCACAGGATCCCGTTGTCACAGGGTCAGTGGTCACAGGATCCATTGTCACAAGAGTTGGTGGTCACAGGATCCCGTTGT